CCCCCCCCCCCCCCCCCGTTATCTACCGTTTTGGTAGATAACTGGGGGGGGGGGGGTACCATATATATATATATATAGGGACCTCAGAAAGGGATCATCCATCTACGTGTATATATATATATACAAAAGGGGATTATACTAGGGATTACCCCAAAATGCTTTATCGGTAGGGGTTTTAATAGAATTCATTTACTGGCGCTATACATCGGGATTATCTGTCCTCCGAAAATAGAAAGTCAAATCGAACAGAAAGTGGAACATGAAATGCCTCGAAATAGGGTTATGCATGGCTTTATAAGGCTTAGGGATATTACCTCTCTAGTGCAAATTGAATGGAAAGAGTATGGAACATTAGATGGAGACTGGGTGTTTCTAGGGATATGCTGGGTTGAGGGTTATCTTGCTTGTTGCCAGTCGGGGACCAGGGAAGGGACTAGAAACTGGCAACGTCTGTATGATTTAGGTTTTGGGGTCTAGTGAATGGCGAAGAAAATGAAAACTTACGACATAGCATTGGGGTTATGATGGGGTTTCTGTACGACCCAATCCTTCACAACCACTATTAAGCAATGGCTGCTCAGACCCTTAGGCCAGCAAAAGCTTTCATGCCAACAAATTTCGTAGTTCAGTAGGAACTTGCCTTCAAATCTGGAAGTACCCCTGGTACTGTGTCTTTCCTGACGGAGTACTCTGTGCTAGGAACCACTGAGAGCGCAGCAGCAGCCATGGAAACATCCTGGATCGCCACCTGCAACCGAATGTATGTGAAACCATTTCCCAGCCAAGCAGATGAATCCAGCCTCCTTCACAGACTCGTTCATGGACATGAGCATGCTCAGCGGTTGCCCAATGCCTCCTGCACCTCCATTGATGCAGACCTCGGGAAAAAAAAGGCAGGCAGCAAGAAAAAGCCTGTATTGGAATTCCAAGATTTAGCGGCTCCTTTGAGTAGCCCTATGATTAGTAAGGACTGTAGAATTGGGGGTTGATCGAAGGGGTGCCCAAATCTTTGGAAGCCCAGTTCAGTTCAGAGGGCCAGGCCTTGAACTGTGCGCTGGCGAAGGATGCAGAGGGCAAATGACGCGCTAGGTTGCGCGGAGTCTGCAACAGGTGCCTGCCATAGGGGCCTAAATATCCCATGCTCTCAATTCAGGGTGTCCTCAAATTGGACGCTGAACATGTACTCTCACCAATGACACATAGGACCTACATAGACGTTACTTAAGGGGTCCTGGTAACCCCTAGACTAGGGTAGGTTCGGGGGCCCTATAGAGAAAAATGCTTATGGCTTTATAAGGACTATATAGGGATGAATCATAACAAAACATGAATATCCCTGTAGACCGTAGACCCTGTGGACATACCCGGATCTTGAGCCTGTTGAGGGCGCGGAGGGCTGCCATGGCTACGCTGAGGACTGAAGGATCAAAAGTTGGGCCGAGCTTCTGCGGCATGAAGAGTATTGTAGCCATTATTACGCTCATTGCGATTCTGACTATTGCTCCTATGATTACAACAAATACGTAGCACTAGAACTCTTACTATTGTTCGAACCATTTTAGCTTCGGATTCCTTTACTACACCCCTTCCTTCCCTCGCCTTCTCAATTCGACTCGTTTAAGAGTAATTTGGGCCAAGTAAGGCCAACTAAGCGGTAACGCGAGAGGGACTAGCATGTTGGGGGCTGTTTAGAGAATTCACATGTACTGTATATTCTAAGCTCCTTAAAGGGGTCTATGTAGGGGATTTTATGGGGGAGTGTTATAGAGTTAGCAAGGGGGTCACTAGGAGTTTACACCATAGCTCACATGAAAACAGGAAGGCATGTGTTGCGGAGTTATCCTACCATTCTTTCCTGTCCTGCCAGCGAACAGGGCAACATTTCCAATATCGCGCAGGTCTTTGTGTGCGGCCCGCTGCTACTTTTTTTGATCGCTAGTATTCCTGCAAATTAAGGACCGGCAGCTTAAGGACCGGCAGCATTCTAGATTTGCTATTGAATGAGTGCTACAGAAACTGGCCACCACTGTTTATGGACAAAATCCTGCATGACCCGAAGTGCGCTGCAGCACCGAAATTCCAAGGGTTTAACTAATCATATCAGGTCACCACTCTTACTCTAACTATTAACATTACTAGTACAAGCACCAATACTCTTATGATTGTCGGTGTTCGTCTTGCTGTGCACGGGATCATCGGGCCTCTCTCAGGAAAGCCAGTGCATCTGGGATCTGCTCCAACCTGAGACATCCAGAAGCCCAGAACCCTTGTCAGACATGAATGTCTGAAAGTAGAATTCCCGTTGAGGCTCGTGGGATGTGTTTATATGAAAATATGTATATACATATGTATATTATATAAGCATATCTATTTCTGCATGTGTCAATGAGGAAGTTCTTGGCTTCTGTCTTGTTCATGACAAAGGTAGTCGAATGGCAGACTGGACTTCGACTTAATTTACAGGAGGAAATCTCTTCCGCGACACCAGCTTCCATTTGTCTTGTCTGGGCCTACATCTGAAATGCCTATGTTGTTGCAGAGGCTTTCGAGGAGGCCAACCTATCCACACTCACTTAGCAATGCTGTGCAGACCGACCGGCCGTGGGCAGTGCTAGCGTGCGCCACCGAGAATTGACTGGACATCTCCTCCTGGGGCGCAGGCAAGTTGAATGATGGAATGTCGACCAGCGGTGCCCGGCCATACCTTGGCACAAGGAGGACCAAAGCAAGTACCAATCATACATACATCATCCCGTCCGATGGCATCCTTGCGTTCCGGTCCTGAACGCGAGAAGCTGAGGAAGAGCGCCGCGCAACGTCTTGGCGCTTGGCACCTTTCAACATCTGTGTGCCGGGCTTGAATGTCTGCGGGTGCTTCTCAGGCATCGTGGGATGCGCGATCAACACCTCGTCATGCAGTCACCGCAAAGCACACAAGAAGGTTAAAGGGGCAGCTAGAACCCCTCTGTGAGCCTATAATAACCCTACATGAGCCCCTCATATGATTCCCTTCTCCCTGGGCCTAGCTATTCCTTGGCTGCGGACATGCGAGATTTTTCGTTTCTTCATGGCCGCCTTGTCGGAGGCCGCCTGGACTAAGAGAAGGCTGTGGTTATATGTTGGGTCGAGGGTAGTGTATGGGGGTTGTATACGGATAATCGAAAAGAAAATGGAAGCTACTATTTAGGTTTAGGGTTTAGGGCTTAGAATTGAAGGTTCCGGGTGTAGAGTTCAGGACTAAGGATTTGTGGTGGTGTAGGGTTTAGGAGTTTGTGTTTTCGGTGCTGGATCTATGGCGGCGTGGGGTTCAGGACTTACTGTCAGGATAGTTCCCCACACTTGGATCCCCTAATAAACCCCAATCTATTGGGTACTGCCCGCACCCAGTACCAGTCTATATTAGGGGTACTATTAAGGGCTAAATATGATCATATTATACTTATTATCCAACTGTTACTGAGGGCGGCACTACCCAACCAATCTACTATGAACCTCGTTCTACAAAAGTATTGGAAACGGCGACGTTGCCACAATGTCTACCACTGACTTAGCGTAACCTGCAAGTTTGGAATTCTATCAGTATACTCGATCTAGCCATAGGAATAGCGGTAGTCGCCGAGTCATCTTGGACCTTAATAGCGAGATACCCTAAACCCTAAACCCAGAAAACCTAAATCTGTCCCCACTGGGCCCAGTATCATAAGAGCTCAGGTAACCCCAGCCCCCACATCTAGACCCTATGACTATCACATTGGTTGTTCTCAAAATTATGGGCCCCTTTTTTTGGTTATAGATGTTATTACGGCACCTGAAATTGATGGGGACCAAAAAGGTCCTAATTTTGGGAACTATCCATATGACTCTTCAAGGCCTTGTTATAAGGATTGGGGTGACCAACATCCGCGGAGAATCCCCAGAGCTTTCTGGTAGTACTTATAGTGATATATAACCAGTAGCAGAAGAAGAAACCCCAAGCTTCAGCAAATCGCCACCCTCCATGCAACCTGAAAATGGACTCTAAAAGGATCAGTTACTGGCCTTTGATGAGGGAAATATATGAGCTACAGTCAATACTGTTTCTATGCTTATTGGACATGGATCCTTGTTGTATGGAGGGAACTGTACCAAATTACCAAAAAGAGACCTTTGCGACCCTTGATAGGCTTTTGGCAACCATGGCATTGACAGTATCTCCTGAAGGGTTCTAGCCCAGCAGCTGAAGCATGAGGGTGCCAAAAACAGATTCCGGTTGTACATATATGAAGATGAATATATATATATATGTATATATATATATATATACAAAAAACACACACACACATATATATATATATATATATCATCTATATATAGAGAGATATATATATATATATATAAATACATATATATATATACCTATATATATCTATATTTTCATGATGCCAGCACTGCCAACAACCTATCCGAAGAAGAGGTTTAGGTTGTCAGCCGTGTGTGTCATTTTCGCAAATGAAAGCTTCTCCGAGTGACATCTCTTGGATATCCGGTGTAGGTCCTAAACAACATACAGCCAAGTCTGGGGGTAGATTTTGCTAGAGTCATAATATAAGGAGCAACTACTGGTAATCGGGACCTAAAGCAAACCCTAAACCCTGAACCCTAAACTCTAAACCCAAAAGCCTAAACCTTACGCGAAGTTTGAGAAAGGTGAGAGCCTTGGCCGCTCCAAGGAAAATACCTCAGCCGAGGGAGTAGATTTTTCTTAGTCTAGATTAGATTTTAGGTTCGGTTTTGCTTGGGATTTGGGGCGTTGACTTTGGGGCTACGCTTGAGGGCTTTCAACAAAAATAAAGTTTGGAGTCTTGAGTCCTAGTTAGGTCTCAAAACTGGTGGCCCCTCTAATAGATCCGCCCGGACAAGGACCCTAAACCCTAAAAAGATGAAAAGGCACCTATACTATGATCATGCAGGGAGTTCTAGAACCACACCATTCCTGACTATTTAGGCCAGTGTAACGCGCGTGTTGGTACTTCTTCGTTGGGTTGACCTGTGGCCAGGCGGGACATGACCTTGCCAACGAATCACATTCAACCTTGCCGCCTTGGTTTAGGGTTTAGGGTCATTCTGGACCTTAAGCCCTAAACCCCGAAGATCTCCTGCGATTTCAGGGTTTGGGTGTTGATCTGACAGGACAACACAGCTGATTACTCAGGACCAAGCCATCTGTAATCTCATTGGCGTCTGCATCCAGGGCATGGTACAGCGACTGGCACAAAGGGGGAACGGTCTAATTAAAAATGATTGTAGTAAGTAAGTAAGTAATGATGATAAGGAACATGCCAGTCATCAATGAGAGTTCAAAGGAGAAAAGCAAAACGTTCTTGCATGGGTAGGAGCGGCGTCAGCAAGATTAACTTAAGTAGCAGAAGCAAAGAATGGGAATGCCACAATGAGGATCGTAAGTAGTGGGAGCAGTGCTACAAGTAATGCCCATGTCGGTTACCTTAGTGAGACGCAAAATGGTAGTTTCCCTAAATAGGGGGACCCCAATATAGACCCCAAAATATTATACTGCGTATTATAGGGACCCCCAAAATGGCACCCCTAATGTAAGGAAACCCCCAAATAGTGAACGATGCGCGCTGGCAGTGACTTGCAATCTATCCTGAAGGGCCTTTCGCCCAGAAAGCTACGCAACAGCTGTCCAAATGGCTGCAGATAAAACTATACGGTTCAAACGTCTTACAAAACTTGAGGCTGAATAGCATCTACGAAACATCTGCAAGAAGAGACTTGAAATGTGACATGCTAAGGATAAAAACCAGGGCGTTCTACACCCTAAACCCCTTTGCCAGGTGCCCTGAACTGCTGCACGCCTCGAAGAAGGACTGCTGTGTCTCATCCTGAGGCACTGCAAACGATGCATGGAAACAGAACAATGTTGGGTCCTGCCCGCACCCACTGATAGTCTGTAATAGGGGACCATATAAAGGGCCCTGTATACTTATATCATAGATATTGATGAGTGGGGGGAATAACCAAGAACAATGGATCTACCGGAGTCTGCTTGTTTCAAGGACTAACGAAATGATGTGGCAAGAAAGAAGGGCAGATGAAGAGCAGCTTAGCGAACAGTTCAGGGTTTAGGGTAACAGTAGTGTCTTCACCATCCACATGCAGGCTTCCGAGTGCAAGGATTCTTGGCCTGCTTGCCAGTTTTGCTTCCACTCACAGCCGGCATGTTCAGAGCGATCAACCAGACCAGTCGGATTGAAATGGTTGCTTGAGCTCACGGAGACACACTGCACCATTCGTTTGCTTAGAATAAAAAAACTGCTTAGTGACCGCATGCCCCATGAATGACAACATGACGATGCGTGGTGTTTGAAGGTTTTTAGATGTGCAAACTGCTGGAGCAGAGCTGAGCTGGCGTTCGCAGCTTGAGCCACAGGCAGAGGTCACCCGAAGACGCTTGTTGACCCGTTATTAAAACGTACCATGGAAGTGCGAAGTTTGCACTGGGTCAATTTCCAGTGCCTCGGAACCAGAATCTTGGGAACTGATTTGCGAGATGTATACGAGAAGATTCCGCTTGACGAAACTCATGAGCAACTTCCGACTTCGCAGCCCCC